ACCCTGCATAGGGTTTCCAAGGCTGTAAATCTTTACGGGAGCAGAAAGCCTCATCTTTCTCCCGTGGAACAGCTGGTGGTTTCGAACAGCTGACCCTGAGGTTCACAGCCCGATTCGTAACCACTACGCTACCAGAGCTCCTTTGATTAGTGTATAGTTGATATTTTAAAATCTGATTATTTTCCTTTTCATATTGTGGTTTCATTAGTGTTTTTTAGAACTGACTTTTTGGCTTTTGTTTTCTGTATTCTTTTTAAATTTGTTTCTAACTTTAACCTTAATGTTTCCTTATTTGTGTACCTTGTCATTTCCTGTCAGTTTCTTTAGTTGAATGCTTAGTTCCCTTTTATATGGTCCTCAGTAGTCTTATTTTTGTAAATATTTGACTGTAGGTCAGTATATAGCTAGCTATAGGTTAAACTTACTCAGTATGTTGATCTATGTCCGTAAGTAAGGAGCTCTGGTAGTGTAGGGGTTACATGTCAGGCTGCTAACCTCAAGGTCAACAGTTCAAAAATACCAGCTGTTCCACCAGAGAAAGATGAGGCTTTCTGCTCCTGTAAAGATTTACAACCTTGGAAACCCTGTGCAGGGTCACTACGAGTCAAAACCGACTCCACAGCACACCACCACCACCATCATGTCCATAAGTGACTTCTATGAGGAGGTGGAAATCTTGGTAAAATATTGTATTCTATATGATCTCAAATTTCAAATTAAATATAGGGACTTAAATAGAACAACAGTGGTGTAGTATATTGTTTCTGGAACAAGGAAATACATTTAAAAGGGTTTTTTTTGCAGGTAATAATTGTTATTCTCAGTAAGGTTGGCTAGTCTAGTCTTTGACTTTTTAACTTCATAAGGAGAGACTACATTTTACAGTGGAGATTCCAGCACTGTGAAGTCTTACTGAATTTGATTACTGTGAAAGGTATAGATTTGTTGATAGTCAAGGGGTTCATATAATTATATCTATAATGAATTTTAATTGCTCTGTAATACTTCTTTTCAGATTTTAATTGCCTCGTATGGGTTATGTATACCTTTCACTTCAGATAACTTTAAAATGCTTCAATTTCAGTTAATAAGTATGACTGTTATATTATTATGTATGATACTATGTAACTGGTGCTTTCTTAACTTTTCAGCTTGCCTCGGGTAGTTAAAAGACGAGTGAATGCTCTTAAAAATCTTCAAGTTAAATGTGCACAGATAGAAGCTAAATTCTATGAAGAAGTTCATGATCTTGAAAGAAAATATGCTGTACTCTATCAGCCTCTATTTGACAAGGTAATACTTTTTACTGCCTTTATCTAAAATTCTAAAAGTAAAACTCTTGAAATATATATTTGCTTATTCTAAAATCAGAAATAACTTATGAACTTGTTTCTTATTTAGGCATTACTGAGATGATTGTTAACTAGAAATGCTTATGAAAATTATCAAAAATGACACTTGAAATTGCACACATTAAATAATTGTTAGTTTTTATGTAGTGAGAAATTTCTTGTTTTTTTGCTTGGGTGCCAATGTTCTAATGTAAACTTTAAAATCATTTTAGCGATTTGAGATCATCAATGCAATTTATGAACCAACAGAAGAAGAATGTGAGTGGAAAGCAGATGAGGAGGATGAAATTTCGGTTAGTGCAAACTTTACTTAATTAGTTGTTTGTAAGACAGTAAAACCTTCTGTTATTGTTAACATTAGTTATGTGGTATATAATAAAACCAGTGGTTTTTTGTTGTTGTTGTTTTTTTTTCAATACCTAGTAATTAATTTTCTTCATTTTAAGATGAGTAGTGAATGCCAGTGAGCTGTTACTTAACCTGACACTGCTTGTATATTTTTGTAGCATTTAAAGTTTATTACTTTATATAAACTTTTACTTTGAAATTCATGATGACAGACAAGGAAAAAGTTACATTGATTTTTCAAGAGAAGAATGATAATGAATGGCAGAGCTGAGATAACAAATGTATTTTCTGACCTGACCCTACGTCTTAATATTTTGATGTTGATTATTAAAAGTACAGAGAATGTTGTATTTACGAATACCAAGGGTTAAAACATTGGACCCAGCCTATATTTTTTACTAAGCTTGAAAAGAGCTTTCTTTTACATAAAGTTTTCTATTCTAAAGCCGTTTTTCCTATAGCTTAAGGCCCTGTCCAAGTTGTTTCTGACACTAGGCACAAAAGAGCAAAACACTCCTACATCCTTCTCCCAAATGTTTGAGCTCATTGTTGCCGGCACTGTACCTGTCTTTATTGTTAGGGGCCTTCCTTGTTTTCATTGACCCTCCACTTTACCATGTGTCATGTCCTCCTTCAGGGACTGGTGCTTTCTGACAGTATGTTCAAAGAATGAGACAAAGTCTCACCATCATGGCTTCTAAGGAGCATTCTGGCTGTATTTCTTACAAAACAGTTTGTTCTGGCAGCTCATGGTACTTACTCTTCACCAACACTTGACACTATGATTGAAAAGCATTCAAAAAGATTCTTCCAGTCTTCCTTATTCATTTTTGAACTTTCACATGCATACAAGGTTGTTGAAAATACCATGGCTTGGATCAGGTGCACCTTAGTTCTCAGAGTGACATCTTTGCTCTTGAGGACTTTAAAGAGTTCTGTTGCAGCAAATTTTCCTGCAGCCGGCACAAGGCCTTTAGTGATTCATTTTTTGGAAGGATTTTGGTATTGGCAGTTTTGAGTAGACATGACAGCAGTGTTTACATACTTCAACCAGAACTTTTTTTGACTGAAGGTGCTATTGGTGATTGTGAGTTTTTTAATTTTTTTTTTTTTTAATGTGGTACTGCATGTAAGTTAAGGGGAAGTGCAAAATGTTATTAAAAGGATCTAATTAGTATTCTGTCATTTATTAAGGAGGAGTTGAAAGAAAAGGCCAAGGTTGAAGATGAGAAGAAAGATGAAGAAAAAGAAGATCCCAAAGGAATTCCTGAATTTTGGTTGACTGTTTTTAAGAATGTTGACTTGCTCAGCGATATGGTTCAGGTAATTTTACTCTTAAAAACACCTGTTGACCTTATATGTTATACTGTTGAAATTTTAAAAGGCTATGATTAATTATTGTTGACCACAATAGAATGGTGGTTTTGATTCTTTTGCAACTGCTAATATTTGTAGAAGAAAAATAATGACTTTTATTAATGTTAAAAAGTAAATTCAAATCCATTTTCAAAAAGTAATGGCACGATCTCATTGATAACATTGACTTATATTTTTTCATATCTTTGTGCAAATTGCATTTTAATACTTTAAGGATAGATGAAAGAATCTTAGAGTTTATATTCTTTATTCTAAAAGACCTTTTCATTCTGAAACGAAAACTATGCAAGTATACTCTGGTAGCGTAGTGGTTACGAATCGGGCTGCGAGCCTTAAGGTCAGCGGTTCGAAACTACCAGCCGCTCCGCGGGAGAAAGATGAGGCTTTCTACTCCCGTAAAGGTTTACACCCTCGGAAACCCTGTACAGGGTCGCTATGGGTCGGAACCGACTCGATGGCACTTAACAACAACAACAACATACATTAGTATATTAAAAGTACATTTATAAAGATCATTCACAAATGTCATTTTCTCTGGGAAGCCACTAAGTAGAAAATGATAAGCAGGAGGGAACAGGTAGGAAAGCAATTATAATCAGGAAAATCCAGCAATTAGAGAATACTTTAAAGATAAAATGTTTTTCTTAGACTTCGTGGTATGTTTTTCTGTCCAGTGACAGTATTTGTTCAGTCCCATCGAGTTGGTTTTGACTCATAGTATAGGTATAGGGTTTCCAAGGAGCAGCTGGTGCTTATGAACCACTGACCTTGTGGTTAGCAGTCCAGTGTTGGTTATTTTTTTTTACCAGTAGAACCATATTATAAACTGATTTTAATATAAGCCATAATAATGGAGAATAAGTCTTAAGGTTAATAATTATTATATAAAGCTTTATTATAAAATACATGTCAGTAAGGTGGTAATATTTCATGTTTTAATTTGAAGGAACACGATGAACCTATTCTGAAGCACTTGAAAGATATTAAAGTGAAGTTCTCAGATGCTGGCCAGCCTATGGTAAAAAAGAAACCTTGAAATATTGTCAGTTTATAACACTAGATGCTTACTGGTGTATAACTGCAATTTTAAAAGGAGGTGACATTAAAGTTGAGGAGTGGGTGGGAGGTGGGGAAGAATTCAAAGTAATAATGGCATTCCTTTAATTTTTGGTAGTTAAGTATAAAAACTTAATGTAGATAGAGACATGCTGCCCAAAGGTACATGAGAAAGTAAATAAATTTGTATTAAAAGGCATTTATCTGGGAATTACATAAAACAAACTTTAGAGAGTCCCTATTTCCCTCTTTTCAGCCAGTAAAACTGCCCCACACCATCAGTATGTCATCTATGGGCTAACCTAGTAAACACTGTAGTTTTTTTATAGTGCATGCAGTAAGATTGATTTTTTTTTTTTTTTTTTCTTTCCTTCTGGTTTGTGTAAACTTACCTTTTTCAGTTTATAAAATAGTTTTAGATGATTGATTACAATGCTAATTTTGATTCTTCTTTTTACATATATCCCCCTATTGTCTTCTTGCCTGCATGGTTTCTGCTGAGAAGTCACAGCTTAAACTGATTTGCTTGCCTTTGTAGGTTAACACTTCTCTTTTCCCTGGCTGCTTTTAGGATTCTGCCCTTGTTTTTGATTTTGGAGAGCTTGATTATGATATTGTCTCAGTGATTTTCTTTTGGTATCTCTCCTTCCTGGGGTTCTTTCAGCTTCTTGAATGTTTATTTTCAAGATGTTAGGAAAATTTTCTTCCAGAAGCTCTTCAACCATCTCTTTTGTGGCCTTCTTTGATTCTTCCT